CTTTTGGTGTGCTCTTTTTCGGAAAGGATACAAGTTGAAATCTATCTGCCAACTCTTGATTTTTTTTTTTTTTTTTGTCATTTCATAAAACTTTTAAATCCAATAAAGCATGTAGTCTATTTTACGAGCTGGCGCCTGCTGCCCTCTTCTTCCAGCCCTTCCCAGGCTGCAGTGTGGGGGTCCCATTTTGGGGGGATCCCTGGGGATTGTCCCCCCCCACCAGCCGCCCCGGCTCCCCCAGCCTGTCCAGTGGACAGCAGGGACAGACGGACGCCCCGGCTCTCCCGTACCTGCCCCCGCACCGGGGCCGTGCGCCGGGGCCCTGCGATGCTCAGGTTGTGAGCAGAGTCCTCTCCCGCGGGGTCTGGACCGCGCACTTCTGCTCAGCGCCAAAGGTGACCCCACGCTGCCCGGGTCAGCGCAGCGGTGCTGGGCCGTGGCGCGAGCCGCTGGTGCTGCCCCGTTTCTGCTGCTGGGGGATGGCCTCGTCCCGCCGACGTGGCTGCGGAGCCGTGCACCCCCCGTACATCGCCCGTACGTCGCCCAGCAGGAGCACAGGGATAGCGCAGCTGCCCCAGTGCCGGGCTGGAGACTCGCAGGAAGGACAGACGGTCGCTGGGCCCAGGGTTAAAAACCCCTCCCTGGGGGCCCCTCGGCTTCCCTGACGAGGAGCCTGCTGCTGACCTGGCCCAGGGCAACCTCAGCCCCTGCCAAAGCCTCTCCCATCTCCGCAGGCCCCAGCACGCGTGGGCACGGCCCCAGCCCGGCCAGCAGAGCACAGCAACGTCGCTCTGGAAAACGGAGCTTTATTGCAGCAGCAGCAAACGCGTCATGCACTCGCAGCTGCCTGAGGCTACAAACCCACCCTGGGCCTGCGCTGGCCCTGCTCGCCGGCGCCGCGCTGCTCCCCGGCCTGGGACGGGCGAGTGGGGACCTGCCCTGGGCTGAGGGCTTCGAACTGGCTGCCGGGCCAGCCCCACCTGCCGGCACAGCCCGCCCCGCCACGCCAAGGC